AATGAAATCGGAAAATTATATTACATTCGTGTTTGTGGACCTCCAAAACCATATACAATATATTTATACTCGTTTGGTTAATTTTGTTAAATAAAATGGACACCATATTGGATTTCCACCATTTTGGATCACTGAAATTGGTCAAATATATTGTATCCGCACTTGTCGACCCCGAAAACCCTAGTATAAAGGACATATTACAGGTCATATGAAAGCTAGTTTTATACTCAATCGATGAAAAAAATGGCGTTTATGGCCATTTTGTGAAGGAAAATGACCGCCATATTGAATTTTCAAAAATGAAAGATAATATTAATATTGTATTTGTGTTTGTCGACCCAAAAACCCTATAAAGGACACCGCTAGAAACCTATTTGAAGTGTTTCTAACAATATTGTGAAAGAAAAACGAAATTTACTGGAAAATGGCCGCCATCTTGGAAAATGGTTGATCCCCGACCGAAAAAATAGTGCTAGGTCAAAAAATTTGCAAAAAATGAATTTTTCAGCTCAATTTGCCTAGGAAAAAACCCTGCACATCATTTCGATATATTTTATCTCATCCCTTTAAATACCACTAAAAGTCTAAACACTTATACAATATACCTTAATAACTAGAGATTTTGGATACGACACCCAAGTATATTTTTGTCTATGTCACTGTCATCAAATGGCGCCGCTGTGGCTGAGTGAGTAAGATGCTGACTCACTAGTCTAGAGGTGACAGGTTTGCTCCCGGTGTCGGTTGAAAAGGTTCCATAAAATTTACCAGCTTAAGGCAACTTATAGTAGTCTTTAACTCAGTATCATCCACAATCTTTTGACACTGCAAACATGACTTAATGGTCAATATAAATCAACATTGGTGTTGTTATCTTACCGTGAAAAAATGGGCTTCTGGTATCCAATATTTAAGAATACTTTCCTGTGCCATTTGTTATGAGCGACTCAGTGAACGAGACTAAACATGTCCAACAAGGGAAGACTACTGGAGCAGACTTTAATATGCACTCTTCGCATATTTCGGCGAACTTAATTTACATAACTGATTAGAAATTACAGTAAAAACAGAAACAATTGAATGTAGATCAGTTTATATATACATTCCTATTACTTACATTATTATAGTGTTGCAACCCATTTGTGTCCATTTCTAGGTGCCAAAGAATAGTGATTTAGCTCCTTTAATTTGATACTAATCATTGCCTTTGAATATCACTTATCCTTTGAATACAGACCCCTAACTCTCAAACAATGTGTGAATAAGGATTAAAAAAAAAAACATAGACCGGTAAGGATTTTGCACTGTTTATTCTTTCCTTATTACGACCCCTATGAATGAAAGTCTTGTATTATGACTAAATAGCTAGGTGCACGACAACTAAAATAAAATTACTGAGTGTCAAGCAAAATAATGATTTGTTCACAACTCGAATATGATATTTTAAAGGTATTTACCAAGTCCTTTTGAACAGATATCAACGACTCCAGTATCAGTAAAATGGCTGAGTATTGGCTGATATCGATTTCTACCAATAGGCCACATTTATTGGCCAATTACCGATATTGGAACCGATTATCAGACCCTCCCTTTCTTCTATGGCCTGCCAGTAGTTACTTAGTTATTTTGTAGTAAATGTGGATGTAGTTATGATTTATATTGTATAATTGTCTGGTCCATTAATCAGATGTCAAATCAACTTTGTATTCTATTCCCTAATTGGACATTTCATAATGAATAATACTACACTAAATATTTTTTTACTTCTTTCAATAAGTGGCAACGTTCACCAGCTGAAATACTCCATTCATTGTAGATTGCATGTAGAGAGTGTTGACGAGTTGTAGCCAGCACTAAGTAAGTGTTATGATAGTAGTTTATAGTCTAGGTCACATTACATGTATTTATATTTACTTTTACAGTGAAAGTTATAAATAGACACTTACTTACATGTTAATTCTATTACAACACATAATTTCTCACTGGCTATAGGTTAGATGTTTAAATTCAGAAGTTTTAACCCACATTAAGTTCAGAACCACATTTATGTTAAAAGTCCCAGGTGTGAAGCCCAGGTTGTGATTTGGAAGTCAGGAGTGAATTTTTTTTTTTGTGATCTTAAGCTCTTAGATTTACACCCAAATGTGTTCAATTGAGTTGATTTGATTTGTAGACTACAGTACATGTAGTTATGGATATAGTTTAAGTGGAAGTATTTGTTTTAAAAAAAAGTAATTTTAGTTTCATATTTGGCTTTAACTGTCAATGTGTAGCTCTAAATCTGTAAAATCTCAACATAAAATCATAATATGGATCTGTGTTGAACCCGGGTTATGGAACATGTACTTTATGATATTTTTTGACTACAGTTATTGTAACTTGTGTGTAGTTGTAATCAATCAAATTAATCTGTTTAAAATTGTACTAACAGTGTCTAGCCCAAAATCTTTTCATTACATGGATTTAGTTTACAAATCAGTTTGACATAAGTCTTTAACATAAATGATATGAAAGGTGTGATATACCACCTGTTGTCATTTACATCTTAAAAGTAATCTTAACATAATTTTATTTATCTTATTTATGGTCTATATCTATCTTTAGATTTATATCTAAGTAGGTCATTCTTACTCTTCTTACCTAAAACACAGCATTTCATCACAAAACTTGTCAACAAGTTTGATTCTGTGGAGAAGTGTACAGATTTTAATATATATAGGTGAAGTTTTGGAAATTTACTATAGTAGTGATAGTACTTATTAATAGCTCATTAATGGCTCGTTAGGAAATATGGAAGTAAATTAGACAATTTCTTTACACCTGAATAATATAAATTCATCTTATCTCTGTCAATGTCATCATGTATTTTGTACTTTTGTGTTAGAACTCAGAAGTTTGTCATAAATTTTGATACCATGTTAATAGAAATAATCTGGTTAATTTGTAACTTTTCTTATACTAAGATTTAATGTTTAGGCATTAAGTCAACTGATCAGGAAACTTAAAAGTAATCTGCGTTCCATTTACATCTGACAAAACCAAATTTGGTGAGCTTCTATGTTGCAGCAGCTCAATCTATGTGTTGTGCAAACCATGGAGTTGCCTCATTTACGCTTCGACTTGATGAGCATCTTCACATTTTTGGGTTTGCTCATAATGTTACAGTTATGCTGTATTGTCTAATAGAGTTCTTGTTGGACGGTGAAACAAACTAAGCCATAACAAGATTGTATATTGGGTCATTATGCTGCGTTTACACTGTTGAATTGTTGACAGTAAATTGTCACAATTTTGAAGTTACAATTTGTTGACTGAAAATCGATAGCCAAAACGATGTCCAAGCCATTCCAAATTGTAATATCTTGTAATTGAATGAGACCGAGGGATTATGAGAATATCTAAAAGATTGATTTCAATATTCACTAATAGAACAGTATATAATATTAATATACATGTATTACTGCAATGTGAAAATATATAAATTTTAACCAGGTCAGTTTTCTAACTTCTGATAAAATGTAGACAGTGTACATGGGTTCTACGTTGGCCGTAATATGTCAGTCAAGACCTAGGGCTATGGAAAATGACCGCAACTAGATCTGACCCATCGGTCCTTTTGCATGTCGGAAAAAGAGCCCTTTTTTTTTTTAAAATCCCCCATTTTCAAACATGGCTACGATCGACCTCCATTTTGTAACTATACACTTGTACAGCCAGTGCAGAATAATGCACACATAGAAGCCACATATATGTGGTATTATAGAGTTGTATACATAGTCGTCAACAGATTATACTGAGTGTTGTTTTGATAATTAATTGGTAGTAGAACAATAAAAGTTAATTGATTTGTGGGAATCTTATCAATAGTGTGAAGTGGTCCATTGTTAATCATTCACAATTTGAACACTCACGTATTGTCCACGTGTCATAAGAATTTTCTACAACAAAGCTGTTTACCGCTATTACGCTCACGCACAATTTAAACGAGATTATTATGATCTTCAAAAAAAGGGCAATTGACTGCTCTTCGAATCCAACCAACTATCATATGTTAAATAAAAACAGCATAGAAATTATGTAAATCCTCAACAACATTATAATTTTTTTAAATCTGTAATTTTGGCCTTGTGAGAATTGTAGAAATAGAATCTAGAGATTAGTTAACTTGCTTACCGAAAAATTAAGAAAATTATTCCAGTGCTATTGTGCAGCAATATTGATGATTCCACGTGCTGCAAAAATGTTGTGTATATATGGTTACTCTTATACACAACGATATTCTAGGGGTGTTAATGTCGCTAGCTATGAAGTTAGTTATCCATTAGTTAGTCATTATTAGGATTTAGGTCACAATTGTGCGGTCCTTAATGCCGTAAGAGATGGTCTAAAACCAATAAATGTGAAATATATGCCATGAATAATTTATTTATCTTCATTTCGAAGTTATTAATATTATATTACAACTCAAAATTATCCAGGTCAGTGTGTTTTCTATAGAGTACCTGTAATTATGTGTGAGCTACTGGAATGGTTTTTCAACGGCCAATTCAGCTATTTCGATTATTCAAGTAGCCAAAAGGGAATATTTAAATAATTATCATAAGCCTTTACTAATATTTCATTTTTTTTAAAGTCCAATAATAATTTTTTTGTGTACCCCAAGTGGTATAGATACATGAATTAATAATACCCTACCATGAATAAAAAAAACCCATGAAATATGAATTTACTTTGCAAAGTTTTCCTGCGTTTTATTTTATTTTGAGTTAGGATATTGTTTGTTAGATTCTTTTTATAATGAAAAATGAAGTACATTTGTAGAGCTTATTTTAAATTAGTAGAGACTGGAACTGGTTCTCCATTTCTACACACACAAGATTGTAGTCTGTATTTGTCAATCCTAATCTAGATATATGCTTTATGTAGGGCAAGCATTTTCACATTATTTGGGGGATTTTGGTGAAGACAGATTAAGAAAAAAATCTTCCCTTTTTTTTCAGAATATTCTGGATAGAAAGCAGATAAGATGCAGCTGCGACAGAAGTCGAGCGAAGTATCTCCACCTCCAGAAAAATCAAATCGAGTGAAAAAATTGCTTGGTCAACGTAAAAGAGAGATTGGAGGTGTACGGAAAGTCGAGGTGAGACTATTTATTTTCTTGGATTCAATGTATAATTTGTCAGAATTATACCATGTAGCAGTATTAATGTAAAATGAAAATTTAGCAATAAATAGAAATTAAAGTAGAGAGAGAGAGAAATGGGGTTTAACGTCCACTCGACACAAACTAGGTCATTTCGGGACTAACATGGTTTAATTTTATTTACATAATTCGCTTGCGCGTAGGGGTCTTTAGCAGTGGGAGGAAACCGGAGAACCCAGAGAAAACCCACGAGGTTGGAAAATTAAAGTAGAAACTAAGTGAAATGTATTTTTATTAAGCATACCGTATTATACATGTACCTCTCAGTAAAGTAAATGCCCGAGTTGTAAATTGATGGGAGAAAATTTTTGCAACCTGTTGTTTGGTTTTAAAACCTCAAAAAAAAAACCCCCAAAAAAACAACTCTGGTCTCAAGAGATACATGTACACATGTATATATGTGACATGTTAAATTATGTGAATGTTATAATGCAAGCATTGACTTTTTTTTGCTTATTACTTCAGCATTGCATTGAGTATGCTAGAATCTAGAACCTAGCATATCATGTGTTTTTTGTTGATATTAATCTTATTAAAATAACCATAGTCATTTGTAGTAATGAACTGTATTAAGCTGAACCTGTGACAACCCATTTTGTGTATGATAAAGGTACATACATGTAATAATGATACTTATTGATTTTAAATTGTTTTTGTAGCATAATCAATACTTCTGTTTGATCCTTGAGACGGACAGCTTGCTGTTAGTTTTGTTTTTCACCAACTGTTGGGTGTGAATACCGTCATTTGTAATTAATCAATAGTTCATCCATTGATCCTGTCACTTTCTTACTATTTATCCATTAAAACCATTCATTTTTTTTATAATAAACAGAATGGGAAGACAACTCCAGAGAAGAAACCAAGATTAGACCCTTGCAATGGTGACCTCAATGAATCTACAGAAAGTTTTATTACATCCACACCTCAAATTAACCTCTTAAAAAAGAAAGGTAGTTCTCATTTGTAACACATGGAATAAACTAATTATAAATATTGATACAGATTTTGTAAGACTTTATTTGTCAACGGGGACCAAACAAAACAACTCAGCTTTTAATTCTGGGGTTTGCAAAGAAATACCTTCAGGATTTTTCTAGCCAGCTTTCCACTTGTCAACTTGGGTTATACCTGCAGATTTGTCGGCGAAGTCGTTCGGATGGTGTGGAGAAAGCAAACCTTTGGCACCATGGCATACATCTGCAGAGTTCTCATGGAAAGTGAGTGAAGTTGTTATGAAGGTATTGAAAACCAAACCCTTGGCAACTGGATGTCCTCATATTGCATTCGTAACATAGTACATGTAATCATAGAAAAACAAATTTCATGTTGGCTTCCAATGTCCTAAGTATTTTGTACTTCCTTCCATTTCCATATAATTTACTCTTTAAAAGATGATGAGATGATTTCTCATTGCTATGCGTGGGTGCATTTTGATCGTTTGCTTGTATATGATATGGACAGAAGGTTATCCCTTGGTTTCCTCCCACTGATTGCTTTGTGCAAACAAATTATTACGAAGATTTATCATTTACTTGTCCAATAGTGAAAAAGTATGTATTGAGATGTTAAACCCTATTTTTCTCCCTTTCTTCAGTAAATCTAATATTTTAAATCTTTTTAATAGAAAGCAAGCAAGGGAACAAAATCTCCCCAACGGATACTGGGAGCACTACATGTACAACAGTCCTTGGAACAAATACAATTTTTTCACCACGTTATGACCAGACAGGTAAGAGATTTCATTCATGAATTCATTTTTTATGCAAATTTAGAAACATGAAATTTTAATTTTAAGGGCCTATGCTTTAGAAAGTACTGGCAAAGTTCATCCATTTGATGATTTCATTGCAAGTGCTTTCCTTACTGAAAATGAAATCTGATTACCATATTAAAAATGTTTCCATATCATCTATGTTGACATACCCTGCAAAGTAAATATTTTTGTAAATTATGCTATATTTGTATTTGTATATGAACAGAAATTAAATGTAGCTGACAGATTTCTTTAGTTTCAACATAAACAAGAAGTTTATAGTGATATGTTGTTGATAGATAATCAACTTTTGATTACTGTTACCCTATCAATAGTGATGAACTAATCACTGATAACAATTAACTACCATATCTTTGATTTTTCCAGACAATACATTAAGGCTACCACAAATTACTAGACATATTTTGTCTACGAGACTCACTTTAATTCTAAGAGTAATGTTCACATAAAATGTTTTTATATGCCCATAATTCTCCCCCGCCTTTCAAAGAAAGCAGGGGACTATTAAAATGGGTTTGTCTGTCTGTACGTCCGTCTGTCTGTCCGTCCGTCACACTTTTTGGGACACAACAACTTTCCTTCTAATTGAGCAAGAATGTTTCAACTTGGTGCAGGTGTTTATTACTATTAGGTCAATGCCTTGATGGAGTTCAAAGATGAGCATTTTCTGCTTAGGGTAAGCAGAGATAAGCAATTTGATTGGTTGATGCTTTGGGACACAATAACTTTAGTTCTAATTAAGTGAGAGTGAGGGCTCTTGGTGTATAGCTTTTTTTAACATCAATAGCTTGACTATGTTCGATAATGAACATTTTCTGCTGAGGGTAGGCAGAGCGATAAGCAATTTGATTGGTCGAAAATTTGGAACACAATAACTCTACTTTTAATTGAGGTACAATGTACAAACTTGGTGTAGGCGTTCATTAGGTGAATGCCTTGGTGGAGTTCGATGATGAACATTTTCTGCTTACGGTAAGCAGAGATTAGCAATCTGATTTGTTGAGGCTTTGGACACAATAACTTTGGTTCTAATTAAGTGAGAGCGATGAAATTTGACAAATTTTGATTATGAGAGAATTTTTGGCTCAGGGTAAGTAAAGCGATAAGCAATTTAATTGGTCGAGACTTTAGAGCTTGACAACTCTGATTCTATTTGAGTGATTGTGGTGAAACTTTGTGTATAGATTTATTACATCAATACCTTAACAAGGTTCGATGCTGAGCATTTTCTACTTAGGCAAAGTAGAGACTTCAATCTGATTAGTGGAGACTTTGGAACACAATAACTCTCCTTCTAATTGAGGTAGAATGTTCAAAATTGGTGTAGGTGTCTATTACTAGTATTACGTCAATGCCTTGACATAGTTTGTACATGCCCATTTTCCACTAAGGCTAAACAGAGATGAGCAATTTGATTGGTTGAGACTTTGGAACATGATTACTTTGGTTCTAATTGGGTGAGAGTGGTGAAACTCTGAGGATAGATTATTAATACATTGACTGTGAGAATTTTCTGTTTAGGCTAAGTAGCGATAAGCAATTTGATTGTTCAAGACTTTGGAACATCACAATTCTGCTTATAATTGAGGTATAGATGTTCATTAGGCGAATATCTTGACTGAGTTCAGTGATTAATATTGCCCATTAAAGCTAAGCAGACCTAAGCAATTTTTTTGGTCACTAACAGATACCTCAAAACCTTAGTTTGATAGTCAACATTTTATGCTTAGACTAAGCATAGATAATTAGTTTGATTACTCGATACTTTTGTAAAAGATAAATGTGCAATTAATTAATATGTGTCATCTGGTTTTTTTTTGGTTTTTTTCTCCGGGGGACATCAGCCTCACTGTTGGCTTGTTACTGACAGTTATGGCCCTTGATCACTTTGAAAAATCTTGTGGGCGCTCTAATTTATATTTGATTGACTTTAAAATTATACACAGTGTTTAAGGTCATGAGGCGAAAAATCCTATTCATTTTCATTGATTTCAGATAATTTCTTCCAGAGTTATTAAATGTTTTGTATACTAAATGTTAGTATAGGGTAGAACTAGAAGCCAAACAAATTCTAATGATTTCTAATAATCACTTAATAGGTTGTAACCCGTAATTAGATATTAGTGTGTTGTAAATGTTTACATTACCAACAAAAGAATAAATGTGTGACAACCCTTGTTGACTGCTCGGACGACTTAGCTGCTGTAGGCGTATGTTTCAATGCCTGGCAACCTAGTTTTGGTTGTTTTTTTTTTAGTATGGGAAGTAAATGGAACAAATGGTAGTTTAAATGGAGATTTTAAAGTCGATGTACTACCACCAGATACTGAACCTATTGGAACTGTATTACGTACATGTAAGGCTCCTTTTATAAGCTTTTATTAATGTAACTGTTCATATGATGATGAAATATAATTTTCAATAAGGGTTTGGAATTGAACAAGTAGCCTATATTATAAAACGGGTGAACTTTTTCTTTTCATTTTATCAATGGAACAAAATTTGGAACAGCCAAAAAATTTTAAACTCATACATTTCTTTGTTTTTTCCATACTTATCTTAAGCGCCCCATACACGATCAATTATATTGCGCAATTTAATTGTCAATACCCTGAACTGACAATTAAATTGACCGTGTATGGGTGATGTTGATGACTTGCGCAATTGTATTGAGTGAATCAAACTCTGCTTGATATTTTATTGCGCAAGTCTATTTGATTGCACAATTAATTAATTCCAATCAGGGGCTCGACCATTTGCAAAAGCTCATTGTAGGACTCAACATCCATGCGCAGAAAGTTTTTAAAATCACTTGGCTCATTCTGGCTCAGTTCACGTAATTTGGTGTGTCCAAACGTTGAACGCTGCAGAAACCATTCTTTTGACCATTTTGCACATTTCCTTCTTGGAACATCGGTTTCCTCTTCTACAGCAAGAGCAACTGCCACGGTGATTGCTGGGTCAAAATCCCCCATCCTTTCTCAACGGATAGCAAGACCAAAATGAGTCTAGTTTGCGCAATTAAAGTGTCAATTATATTGAGCTGTGTGTGGGCAGCAAAAAATTGTCAATTATATTGTGCAACCAGGCTTGCGGAATATAATTGATCGTGTATGGGGCGCTTTAAGTTCTGTGAAGAATTAAATTGAAAGTATTCCAGAGCATGGTCCAGAGCATGGGATTAGAGAAAGCCAGTTAAAATATGATAATTATTGCATATCAATGCAGGAAAAAAGAAATGTAATTTAATTTGATATGAATTATAAAGTTATGTAATCTGAATGAAGACATGTATATGACGATGAAAATGGAAGCATTTTAATGTAGTTGCTAGAATGCACTATGTACGTATATATAATATAGGTAACTCTGTAGGTAAAGAAAATGAAGATCCGTGTAAAGAGAATTACTGTGAAATAGTAACAGAGGAAAATAATAATGGAAGTGTTCAGATGTATAATCCCTCCGTCCCGTCTGTAGAGTGTGATTCAAATTATGTTGTCTGTGAAGAAGAATGTGTTGAAGGTGAAACTTACGAGTGGGAACAAGAAGCATGTGATCCGTAAGTTTCAGTATATAGTTAACTAATCAAACAATCTGATTAAAATACAGATCTATATTAGGTTTCGTTTTTTATACGCCCACATGGAAATGTGGTCGTATATTGCCGTCGCCCCCGTCCGTCCATCCATCCATCCATCGTCCACAATTTCTTGTGAACACTCTACAGACTATATTTATCATCTGATTGTTTTGAAATTGATATATGTTGTTTGCATTAGTGAGATGAAGTAGCCTATTTAATTTCAATAACTTTCGTTAATTTCTTCTGGAGTTATAGCCCTTGTTTCATTTTGTTGCACCTTGTGAATGCTCTAACGACAAAAGTTATCAACTGATCTGTATGAACTTTATATGTAACACAAAGAAGCCTATTGAATTTTAGCAATTTCCGTTAATTGCTTCTAGAGTTATGGCCCTTGTTTCACTTTGTTGAATCTTGTGAACGCTCTAATGACAATAGTTATCATCCTATCAGTTTGAAATTGATATGCATCTTTTAAATTAGTGAAACGAAGAAGCCTATTGAATTTCAGCAATTTCCGTTAATTTCTTCTGGAGTTATGGCCCTTGTTTCACTTTGTTGTACCTTGTGAATGCTCTAACGACAAAAGTTATTTTCCCATCTGTATGAAATTTATATGTATCGTTTAAATTAGTAAAACGAACAAGCCTATTGAGTTTCAGCAATCTGGTTAAAACACAGATCCTATTTCGTTTCTATAATTTATAGTTCAAAATTTTGTTTTACTTGTCTTTACTACACTTGGATCTGGAAGAGTTGTTATTTAACTCGTGTTCTGAATGGTGTCGGGGATAAGCCAATGAAATGGTCTGTTACGGTGAGCTTTAGGCGTGTTTTTCACGGAACTGTGGGTAATCCACTAGTAACATCAATGCTGATTGGTTAATCAAATGTCTGACATCATAGGGTCATCAGTCGGTCTTTTGACCCCTTACGTGATCTATCACTATAACTTGTCAGATCTTCATGTAGTGTAGGCCATCGAAAGTATAAAAAACGAAACGAAATATAGATCTGTATTTTAATCAGATTGTTTCTGTAGATTACTTCCAGAGTTACGACCCTTGTTTTAGTTTTTAAGAACCTTGTGAACCCTCAAATGACGAAAATTATAATGTAATCTGTATGAAATTGTCTATTAAATTCCCCTAATTACCTACAAAAGAATAAATATGTGACAACCCTTGTCGACTGCTCGGACGATTTAGCTGCTGTGGGCGTATGTTTTGTTGCCTGGCAACCTATCTTTTATACTTTCGAAGGCCTACAATACATGAAGATCTGACATGTTGTACTCGAAGGTCGTGTCGGGTTGTACAAGCACTTTTGACCCTATGACGTCAGACATTGATTAATCAATCGGCGTTGACGTTTCCAGTGGTTTACCCACAGTTCCGTGCATGGCACGCCAAGAAGTTGCTGTAACAGACTGTTTCATTGGCTTATCCCTCACTTCAACCAAAATGCCGGTAATATAACAACTCTTCCAGATCCTATTGTAGTAAAGACAAGTAAAACAAAATTTTGAACTATAAAAAACGAAATGAAATAGGATCTGTGTTTTGATCAGATTGCTAATCAAATACTAAAATCATATTCAACTTAAAGGTGTGTCTGTTTGCATTATATTGAGATAATAATTAAATGGTCTTGGCACCGATAAGTAATTTGTTTAATTATTGGTACTTGATATCTTACATATACAATAAGAAGAATTTTTGGTTATTTATGGTTTCTAAGTTTGGTGTTTGTAATGTAAACTTCCACTTTCCAGGCATACTTTAAATGAGATAAAAATTGAATTTGTTTTGAACAGGTATGCCATTATAAAGAATTTACCACCTCTAACGGATGAATTAAGGGCAAGAGTACCTGCCTTACCTGTCAAGACAAGAAGCTCACCCCAGTTTTCATTAGTGCTAGATTTGGTAGGTTTTAACTTAGTAGTTTTAGAGTGATTTGACTCTTAAGGCCGTCGTTCGCACTTCATTTGGTGAATTTTAACAATAAAATCGTTTTTGAGGTTTTATGATCATCTGCGAGTAACACTATCTAGGAACACATACCAGTCATTTTTTTCACAAAATTCTTCTTTATTTCTACAAAATTTGGTTCTGAATGATCCCACCCTTTTTTATTTTGCCCTAATTCCGCTAAAACTATTGATATAAATCTAAAAACAATAGGCATTTCATACGTGAAATACTCGGCTTCCGACCGGTAAACTGTCGCCATGTTGGATACTGTTAGAAAGCTTGGGATCCCCCCTATTGAAAGGAAATGACGTTTTATGGGGGTGTCTTGAAACCTTTCTTCTGTATTGAGATAAAAATAGCAAGCAAGAACAAGTTTTGCATACCTAATGAGGTTATTTCGAGAATACGTTATTTGATTGGTCGGTCACATAGGTCAATGGTGAAGTGTCCAATCAGAAGCGGGCAATCCTCTAGGTCAGGTCAATAGGCATGCGCACTAAGCTCATGTCCCAAATCAATCCTGGTTGCTATATTACTGAACCGTACGTCACTGTTTATCAATATTTTTGAAGATTTTCAAATAAAATGCGTTTGAAATTGTTAGATGACTAAATAAGTATGACAGACACTCATAATAAACAAAATGAAGATGAATATTCGTCTGCTAGACCTAGTAGTGGTATGGTTGCAATACCATTACCAGGTAGGCCTGCTGTCAGTGATTATATAGATTTAGTTATGGTTGTTTTGAATAACATCTATTCCTATGTCAATGTTCGGTTGTAAATTTACACACAAGAAATAAAATAAGAAAATACTGTATATTGATAAGAAATACATTAGAAAATATATATATTAAAAGTCAGTTTATTAATATTAAATAAATGAATTGAAAAGATCGGCGTAAGTTGTTCTACTGAAATACTTCAACTTCAGTTGTTGATTTCTCAAAACGGTTTTTTTCTAGAGTTACCAATTTTAGTCATGCTATATCTCTGAAAGTTATCGTCAGATTTTCTTGAAACTTGGAATATAACTTCCTATATAATAACTTTGTGCAATAAGAGAATTTTATTGAAATCTGCAAAATAGTTCCTGATATATTGTTGCCATAGCAACTGTGACACGTGAAAGAATTTTGAAGTTAACATTAAAATGTGTATAACTTGCTTTCTAATTATTATTTTGTAATGAAACTTGCCTATTGCACAAAGGAACATGTCAGTAACCTCTCTGCTTAATTTTAAAACATTCTGTTGAATAGTTTCTGAGAAACTGGATGACTAAAATTATACGCAGAAATCCAAGATGGCCGCCGTTTCCATAGCAACAGGTACCCCCAGGAAAATTTTTCGGCCGTTTTTGTAATACTCAATGGATGTGTTCTTAGATGTGTAAGAATGGTGACTTTACCTCAATTATTAAAAAAACTGAAATTTTCTACTGTCCACCCCCTTAACATATCAACAATTAATTTACATTGTTAAGTTGGAATTTCATTGTCTCACTCTCAGATCTCAATCCAGATGACACATGCCACATAGCACATACAGTGACATACATGTACACGTAAATTTTGTACAGGCCTACAGCTTATTTTGTGTTGTTTTTTGAACCAGATAGATAAAAAAATTCTGTTTGATTTTCAGGATGAAACATTAGTGCATTGTAGTCTAACAGAGATGGAAGATGCAGCCTTTTCATTTCCTGTTGTGTTTCAAGATGTGACTTACCAGGTAAGACCGTAATCCTACCAGATAACTACCTGTTAACTACCTGTGTTGACTATTGCCCATAATTGTATTGAGTCATATTACTCATAATGTATTGAAAGGTTGAATCATTGAATTCTCATACTTATTATTGTTAGATTCTGTTTCTAGTAACAATCCGACTCATTCAAAATGGTCCTCAGCAAAAATGCAAATTATAAAGAAACTATGTACAGCACGTGCTCCCAGTTCCACATAAGTAGGGTGCCCCACCATAAATAAATATCTCCATTTATCTCGACAATTACACCACAATATCTATATATACACCAAGCCTTAAATCAGTTTCAAACATTTATAGTCACTAAATAAACGGTCATGTTGTACTTAATAAGCTATGACCATTTAATCATCCATAAAGTAGTCTCGCTTAACCAGTCTACTGACCATTCTACATTTGATTAACAGGCCGGGATAATCTAGACTGCGTTTTTACGAAACATAACAGAAAGCTGGAACAATAAATTGAATTTAGAAACTTGCAATTTGGGCAACTCAACAATTGTTTTAAGAACCTTGTAAAAGTAAAATGAAACTACTGCTAGTATCAGTAATTTCTAAAGCTGCTGTAAAAACCAATAAGCTAAATATTACTGCTATTCAGAATCTTCAACAATAGATTTTTTACGGCTGTAATAGTTGATAGATGTGTAGAGAATTGCATGTGCGATGGCTATTTATAGTATCATAGACTCTACGGCTGAGTATTATCATAGTGCGTAGTAAGCGAGAAATCACTTCGAGATAAGCCACTGAAGCGTGTACATTCACCCTGTCAAGACCAACTTTCTGTACGGAAAATTTGGGGGGCACGGGTCACCCTAACATAAGGCCAAAAAAGGAATATTGTGTGCTCTGTTTATTATAGTAACCCTGACTTACTCAAAATGGTGCTGAAAAAAAATCAACTGTTCTGTATCCAGAACATTGAAATATCATAAAAACTTTACATCCTAATTTAGCAGGACAAAAAACAAAAAGAGTAAGGTATGTGTATGAGTGTAAGATCTCAATTTCAAATACATGTACATTTAAGACCTGAGATACAGCGGCTTTACACTACATGTTGTTGCTTATTGTTTATCTTTCCTTGTGTATCACGACATGAACATGAAGCTGATATCGTGATGGTATCATGCATGATAAGTTAGTGTATGTACAGTGGACTCTGTCACTTCCAACATCTGAATACTACAGCATTCTGCGAAATCCATCATCATTTTCGTGTCCCGATTTATTTCCGTATTACTTCAGCCAAAAAAGTTTTGAGTAGTCCAGATTCTGAATATTCCGAATTACAACATCAATAACATTGGATAATCCGACCTTCAATCAGTGGGTGTTAACTGACAAGCAATCACCAATCAATTATCTGTGAGCATAAAACATGTGTCGATCTGTTGATTACCTTGATAATTTTATAATCTCTTGTAAAAGAGCGCTTGGTATTTGATTTGAGTTTCTCACATCAAATACAGTGACATTATATATAAATTGCCGAGATGATGAATCACTATCATATTGTGTGATCGTACAGAATGTACAGAAAGCGTTCTCATATTTTAAGTTCTGGGTATTCGAGGGTGCATTATATTAATACTTCCGGTATTCGAAGGTACAATAATACTTCGGGTATTGAGGCAATTGAGTATTCCGACATGCTGTGTAATCCGGCATATTGTATCGATCCCATACGATGTCGGAATTGACTGTATTACAAAACAATTGAATATGAAATGTTGGTGTATATGTATTTCAGGTTTATGTGAGAACACGACCAGGGTTTCGTGAATTCTTAGAAAGAGTGTCGAAGATGTATGAGGTTATTTTATTCACAGCTTCTAAAAGAGTTTATGCTGACAAATTACTCAACTTGTTAGATCCACAGAAAAAACTTATAAAGTAAGTATATGCCCTGTGATAAGTGAAAATAGTAGGTGGTGACTTAATATATATTTACCAATGAGTTATGTTTTAAATTGTGTATGTGATACAATAGAAATAATCCAGAATGTTGTCAAGTGGGATTTTTCAAACGGAAAGTCAGGTGATGGGGGTACAAACACAGACGTTCGCCATTATCATATACAGCTATTTTCAGGTTTAGACTAACGGCTAACAAAAATTAGCAACTATGCCGACTAAACGGTGTTCATGGGGGAACTTGTAACAGTGAAACTTGTAACAGTGATAGCAGACATAAACAAAGATTATATGGTCGATGTTACTTTCAATCCATTTGTCCTCATAAAAATCTTTCTGTAGATAGACTAATTTTAAAACATCAATATTTTTGTCTCATTTAAACAAATAAAATTGTCCAGATATAGTTATCTAAAAACAATTTTTAAACATGAATAAATACAGTTACTGTACCTATCTCATCACACGGGGGTCTATTGGCTATTTGGTACATACATGTATATCTGTTTTTAAAATGCTAAAATTCACAATTCTTAAAGGAATTACACAATAAATATAGCAGAAATGAGATCCTTATTTGTACCTTCTTTATAACATTTTCCAGAGAGTGCAATCAGTCCAGTTTCTGTTTGTCGTCTATCAACCCGATGTTTTTTCAGCAGGTGAAAATAGGTGCAAGTTCTATTGTAACTGTGAAATTTAGCAATTTAATAAAAAAAAAAAAAAAAAAAAGGCTACACTATAGTGGTGAATAGGCTTCCAAATCGTGCAATCTGATACCGGTAGGCCTATGTATTTATTTACTTTTAACAACTATATCTGGACATTTTTATTTGTTTAAATGTGTGCGACAAAAAATGCTGATGTTTTAAAATAGTCTTTAAGGGTGCCGCTGTATCGAAATTACAGAAAGTTCATTAATACTCATTATTTGAGGTCGCCCACTTTTTTTTACCAAGTGTCTACATCGTTCAGTGTTAATTGACAGCCTTGGAAATGGATAGATGGTAACACCGATCATATAATCTTTATATTTATATCTACATCGTTCAGTGTTAATTGACAGCCTTCGAAATGGATAGATGGTAACACCGATCGTATAATCTTTATATTTATATCTGCTATGGCTGTTGCAAGTTCCCCACAAGCATTGTTTAGTAGACATAATTACTACTTTACGTTAGTCTTTAGGCTAAACGTGAAAGTGGCCGTACTATTTATAAATATAATAACAATGGTGAACGGTGTTATTTGTCCCCCATAACTAGGGGTGATGATTTTCCGGAAATCGCGGAATTGTCCACTCAAAACGGAATTTGAAATCTCACACGGAAAAAGATGGAAAAGCCTATATTTGCTGATACTAAACACAAACTTAAAACAATTTTGCAGTTATCCAAGTATTTCATCTTTTTATTCATAAAAATCGGAAATATTGACTGATATCACGTGGATTTGTTACTGTCTATCATAATTTTACTCGAAACGAAAACCCGTTTTTCATGTATCCCTGTATACAATTACTCTGTAGTTGAACTTGAATTAAACATTGTAATGTATATATATATGTCTTAAAAAAACTTCTGTCACTTCATAAAAGTAAAAATCGTTTCATTTACTTCTTATTTTACTGCTGGGCTCGTGACTCGTGTTTATCCGCATTAACCACGTGACATCACAAATATGTCGTAGCCTTGTGAATCCAGCCCTTATTCTCGAAGAAACGGTAGTAACTACGAAGATGTCTGGATAAATCGCGACTACAACTAGCAGCTGAGAAAAATGGCCTTGTCTGCTAAAAAGATGAAACGAGCTCACAAGATGTAATTTTCTGTTATTTAATTCGGGAAACAGGTTTAAAGAATAACTAGTCATTGAACATTACAAGTCATTCACAATTCAACATTTGTTATCATTGGTTTAAAATGATCCGTTTTGTAATAAAAGGCATTTTAAGATGTTTTATTCATTTATTCATATGACATAAAATAACATTTTATCTCAAAAAAACGGAATATGGTCAGCTCTGAAACGGAAAATAACGGAATTTGCTATTTTCTGAAACGGAAAATGATCACCCCTACATAACATGCCTTTCTCTTTGGACAAAACAATTTGACATCATTCCGGAGTAGGTCTTTTAGTCAACTTCAGATTTAAGAAGCGTTATCGATTGGTTTCTTGTACAGAGTGTTGTTGTTTATTAATTATGAAATGACTATACATCTCCACAAATATGAATGGTTTTCATTTCTTAATTAAATCTTAGAAAACAATCAATATCTTCTTGTTATTTTACTGGAAATGTAATGAATTATTTTGTAAATCAATATTACATTCTGTCTTATGGTTTTTATCATCTGCCTGCTTGATTATGTTTTGAAAGAAAATAATGTTTTTATGGAGTACTTAGATATCGTCAAAATACATCACTTGAATGGAATATTATTCTACCAAACCACATGTGTATTTAATTGACGTTTAATAATGGGCAGAATGAGTTACATATGTTTAAAAATTTAGACATATCTATAATTGATTTTGACATTGTACATTCTATTGTAGACATCGGTTGTTCAGAGAGCACTGCGTTTGTATTAATGGTTATTACATTAAAGACCTCTCCATACTAGGGCGAGATTTGTCAAAGACGCTCATAGTTGATAACTCACCACAGGCCTTTGGTTATCAGGTATGATACAGTTATTTATTTACTTTGGCCAATAATTCTACTGTTGACCATTTGCTGGAAGTTTAACAAAAACAGTACACAAAGTGGCCTACTAACACTAAAGCCAAACTTTAATGTATACTTGTACAAATTTTGAAAAAGTAACCCTGTTTAGGAGTCATGTCACCATTAAACTTAGAGATGTATATAAACGCACTTTCATAAATCAATAATCATGAAGTGGTTTATTTGGTGAGGCTACAAATATGGCTGAATGACTGTATCGTCAGTTTGAACGATCATGTCCATGCATCACAAAAGGGTAACATATTAATTAGTGTGTTGTATTCACAGTAGGCTGTTTGGACTGTTTCTAGAATTTACTGGACATATAACAAATGTAGACTAGTAAAAATGTATAATTACAACAGTACAGTAGAATAACATTATATTAATGCTTTTGTATTTTGTAGCTTGATAATGGAATACCTATTGAAAGCTGGTTTATGGATCAGGGAGATCAGGAACTATCTAAACTCTTGCCGTTCCTTGAAAGTTTAGTAGCAATGGTAAGTGAAATTGTTGATTTGGATGAATTTTATTTTTCTTTGTCATCTTCAAACTATTACAAAATTTATATCTTTATCAGCCCCTCAAACTACAGCATTTTTGTACAACCACACATAGTTTGTACGTATATAGTTGTTGTCTCTCAAATATTTAAATGACGAATATTTCAAAGAAAATTACAACATATTATAGGAAATACATTCATATTTACTAATTTCTGACCAACCATGCCACAATAGTTAAGCAAGATTTAATCCACTTTATCTTTTGTCGTCTAAACAGCCTAATATATTTCATCTGTTGACCATGGATTATTTTTTTTATTTCAGAATGAAGATGTTAGACCTTATATTCGTAACCGATATCGTCTTCATACATTATTACCACCATAGGCAGCATACGGTATCCATTTTAGAGCTCCAGTCATTTAAGGCAATCACAGTCATTGGTTTGGAATCAGTCTTATTCAAAACCATTTAAGAGATAATGTTTTTAGTGTATAAAGTGTTATGAAGTATATTTGTAAAATTTGTTGTTATATCAATTTTCTTCATTGTAATCAAAAACAGATTCCATATTTTACCTATTATAATCACAATGATAATGCCTGTAATTTGTTATATTATTTAAGGTTTTGTTTTGTATATAATATGCTCAGTATTATATGATTGAGTAATTTGGTTTTGTATGGCATTTTCCTACTTTTACTTCTTTGACTATCAACACTAATCTCTTGTTAGGCAGCACATCATTAAAAGAATAAAATACACTTATGTAGGAGTAGATAAGTCATTTTATTAAATTCTTGAGCTTTTGCCAAATCTTGAAGAATTTCATTCCTTTCCTTTTTACCAAAGACAATTGCATGAAATATATCATGAGTTATTTATTTATCATTCATATTTAACATATGAAGGCAGCCATATTCGTATTTGAGAGAGAACAGAAATATTTAATTGTAAATTTTTGTTATATTTTTAAGTCTTGAGGCTGCCTTTTAAAGATCATGCCATGTGTGTATGGCAAACAAAGATAATTTAAAGTTTTGAATACTGGTAGTTTCAGTTTACATTGACCACTATTAAAAGATTTTATTTTGAAGAATTTTAGTTACATATGTGAAAGCAATTTATTTTAATCTTGAAGATATGTCTGCATATTTTTGTAAAAAGAAATGAAGATTGTAATTTATGATTACCAGTAGTCAATTTAAAGGATTTTCCTAATATATAAAAGATAATCATTATTTATGAATCCACCAATTCGTCTGATCCACCATACATTAAGTTTCATCTATTTTTAAATGTATTTTCAGAGTCAATTGATTGTTAATGATTCATTACCATCCCATTAAGATCTATTTGTGAAAAGATAGCATTCTTCAATTCTTATACAATTTTATTTTAGGAATATAGTTTCATTATCCATTTAGGACTATTTCTTTTAAAATTACCTGGGGTAATGGGAACACCACTCTTTATAGACCCCCTACTAACAAAATGGGTATATTTGTTAATGTCTCTGCAAACAGAATATTTTTTTTTATTCTTTCTAAAAATTCTTTCTAACCATGCAGAGCTTTTTTCAAAACCCCAATTGATAGAATCCATTTTTTTTTTTCCAAGACCCCCTCACCTGTCAGATTATTTTTGAACGTGGCCTTCTCACCCACCCAGGTAATTTTAAATTGAATAGCCCTTATCTCTGTCTTAGTTTTATTACAATGAAGAAAATGTCTTAACCTTAGATCAAATGTATTATTATTACTATTATTATTATTTGTGAAATTTTTATTGGATATGTATATTTGTTTGTGAAATAATTATATTATATTAACAAAGAATTAAAATAACTTGAGAGACTATTGTAGTTTTATATAAATAGATTATTATATCTTTTAGATAACTTTCCCAGTTTTATTGCTAAATTTTGTGGAAATAGAAATATTAAGTGTCTGTTTATTTTGTTTGTTGTTGTTGAGGTTGTTTGTATTTTATTTGTTTTTTTTCTTTCTTGAATTTGTTCTTGCAAAAACCTCTTCAGTGACCTTGATGTGTAGAACCACTGGAATGTATTTAACAGTGTGTTCGTAATTATGCAAATCTTATTTTGTGTGTTGCTTATTGCTAAACTGAGTTTTCATTAGTGCTACATTTTTGTATTTCTAAATAATAAGTGCATTAATTTTTTACAAAAAAATTATTCATACAAGATAGTGATTTAAAATAAAAAGAAGATATTCCACCCTCAATCTTACAAATTTGAAATTTTGAAGAATATAGTGTGAATCGTTTTCTCAATAAAGTTATTTCCCTTCTTATATTTTCCTGTATATTCAATGCTTAATATTGAAATATATTTTGCTGGGTTGGGTCAACTTTCTTTCTCAACTTTTCATGCTTTTATATGAAAAGTAACTGCATATATTTGATTTTTTTACTTTACTACAGCAGATGTTTCTTTTTTACACATTTGAACACCGTTTAAAACTGTTGATAAATTGCTTCTCATATTATTTTTATGGTGCCAATAATACAACATGAAATGAATTCTTAAATTTACCACTTGGAAGTTATATTTGAATTTATCATAGTGCTAATTTGATATTCTGTAAATATAGTTACAGATGTTATTATTCTTGAACAGTCCAATTTATGGTCTGAGGTACAAACATCAAATATTTTTTAATTCAAACTTGTCATATTGTTCAAACTCAACTTAAGTGAATTTAAAGTTAACATTGCTCATACAATCACTACTTTAGTACTTAGAAAAAGTAATTTAAAGTCTCTGTAAAAATTACTATTAATATTTTTAAAATGTAGAATATTTTATTACCATTTATTTTGAATAAAGTTCTAAATGAAAATTTTAAACTTACGTAGTATGATTATTTTAAATGTACATAGTGTAAAAACAGATACGTAAGAATATTATTGAGTTAATATTTATGCGATTAGACAACCAGTATGATTATTTTGTTACTGCACAAAAATAGGGAATAGGACTAGTCTAAAGTTTTACTGAAATTGTTCAAGTGCACTCTGTCTCGATCAATGAGATTATTACAAATGAATTTGACTTCAAACATCTTTATATCTCAAGTCATGTGGTTTCATAAATTGAATACCCCTGTTTGGTGCATGAAAGCCATATGCAGCATTATAAATTTGTTGAAACACATTCTGAACAATTGAACAGTTTATGAACATGCTAGCATCCTTGATTTTATGATTTCTTCTACATCATGCGTACATATTTTAAAAACACAATTGCTTTCTCCTTTCAAACTTTGTAATCATTTTCATAGTTGTACATTTTTTCATTGCAGTAGGTTTGTTTGCAATGCAATTGTTACTACTACTGCAACTACATTGGTTGTTCTTGCAATAATAAATTGTGTTGAAAAGTATATTTTGTACATGTCAGTTATCAACAAGATAGATTTATAATTATATGCCACCTTGTTGTCACAAATATAAATCTTCACTTCTAGAGTTTAATTCAGCGTTTGTTTTTTTGTTTTAGATATACATAAATCAAGGACAATTGGCAATCATACAGCCCCCCTCCTTCGCTGATTTTATCTCCAAAAATCAAAATAAAAGGAGTAATTCCCAATATATATAAAGCTTATTATTAGTGAAATAACACAAGAATAAGACTGGCTCAGATTAATGATGAATTTAATGTAGGTTATAGCCAACCAACAACTGGGTACTGAACACTCTTGGTCATAATTAAGCGAAGAAGTAGACTAGAATATAAAGAGAAATTAATGATTACAGAACGATAACTCCCGATGGAACGACTTTTTAGTCATGTAAGAGTTATTTGCCCCAGTAGCTAGAAAGTAGAGCGTCAACACGTGTTTATAATTTGTCTTTTTACATTTATAATGATTACTATTAAATTTGACAGCAGTTGCGTAGTAAGTTCCCTCGTGTTTTATAAAATCTATGTTGTAGACAGTATTATTTCGTGTGTCCTGAAAACTGATATGGGAATTTTTAAATTGTTTTACTTTTCTACTTTTACTTTACTCAAGAAGTCACTGGTTAAACTTATTTCTTTCAAATGACTTCTGTCGTTCTTCGTAAATGGTTTAACGAATTTCTGCATCAGATCAAGTTTTATTTTCTAAAAACATCTAACTTTGGTTAAATACTATAGGGTTTCTAAGTAATAGTATGGCATGAATTTGAGGACTTTGATTAGTATTGTAAAACGGGTAAATGGCAAAACTAAATGTCTTCTAGCTGTCAGTGACATAACTCTCCTTTAGCTCTCTACTCTCTAATGGTTATTTGTAATTGTAACCAGGAGTCTTCACCTGGACTTCACCATGGATAACAAATCACAATTTCTATTTCTGTACTCTAGAACTACAAACCAGAAGATATTTATTCATGAAAACAAAATTGTTTTATACCAGGTAATATATCATATTATGGGCTATATAGAACTTAGTTCAGAACTATGTCCTGCACCACTGAGAAGGAGAAACCATGCAGGAAAATCTTTAGAAACTTTCTTGGCCAACATGGGTAGCAAACCGGAGACCGGGATAACAAGCCAGCATCTTACTCACTGAGCCATCAGGGCTCCCATATATGTATTAGAATTGCGATAGTACCTCACACCACACCATCAACAGGCCCTACTCGATACCACTTTAATTAACCCTGTGTGCTTCTATCAGATAGGGGGGATCACGTGGCTAAGTGGGTAAGATGCTAGCTCGCTAGCCTGGAGGTCGGGTGTTCGATCCCTGCATTGACCGAGAAAGTTCATCCAGATTTTCCGGCGTGGTTTTCCCTTGTCAGTGATGCAGGACGGAGGGGCTGACAAGGAAAGCTGTCTAGTTGTTCGGATGGGACGAAAAACCGAGGTTCCGTGTACACATTGGCGTGCACGTAAAAGATCCCTTGGCAGTTGGAATTCGATATAAGAGTAGGCCGTAGTGCCTCCATTTCATTTCATTTCATTTCTTCATTTCTATCAGATAGTTTATTAAATAACATTCACTATCCCACCTTAAATAAAATTTATAATTACAATTAAATATTCCATTTTTTATACCCCCACATGGAAATGTTGAATCTTGTAAACGCTTGAACGACAAAAGTTATCACCCAATCTGTATGAAATTCATATGCATCATTTAAATTAGTGAAATGAAGAAGCCTATTGAATGTCAGCAATTTCGTCCATTACTTCTAGAGTTGTGGCCCTTGTTTTACTTTGTTGAACCTTGTGAACGTTCGAACGACAAAAGTTATCATCCGATCTGTATGAAACTTACATGCTTACTTCCAGAGTTACGGCCCTTGTTTTAGTTTTTATACGCCCACATTGAAATGTGGACGTATATTGCCGTCGCCCCCCGTCCATCGTCCCTTGTTTTAGTTTTTATACGCCCACATTGAAATGTGGACGTATATTGCCGTCGCCCCCCGTCCATCGTCCACAATTTCTCGTGAACGCTCTAAAGCCAAAAGTTATCATCCAATTGTTTTAAAATTGATATATGTTGTTTACATTAGTGAGATGAAGAAGCCTATTTAATTTCAATAATTTCCGTTTATTACGTCTAGAGTTATGGCCCTTGTTTCACTTTGTTGAACCTTGTGAACGCTCTAATGCCAAAAGTTAACATACGATCTTTGTGAAATTTATATGCAATATTTAAGTTAGTGAAACGAAGAAGCCTATTGAATTTCAACAATTTACAATAATTATGTCTAGAGTTATGGCCCTTGTTTCACTTTATTGAACCTTGTAACGCAAAAAGTTATCATCCGATCTTTGTGAAATTTATATGCATTATTTGAATTAGTGAAACGAAGAAGCTTATTGAATTTCAGCAATTTCCATTTATTACGTCTAAAGTTATGGCCCTTGTTTCACTTTATTGAACCTTGTGAACGCTCTAACGTCAAAAGTTATCATTCGATCTTTCTGAAATTTATATGCATGATTTAAAATAGTGAAACGAAGAAGCCTATTGAATTTCAACGATTTACAATAATTACTTCTAGAGTTATGGCCCTTGTTTCACTTTGTTCAACCTTGTTAATGCTCGATTGATGAAAGTTATTATCCAATATGTATGAAATTTATTTGCATCATTAAAATTTGTGAAATAGAGGTCTATTGAATTTCAGCAATTTCCGTCAATTATTTCTAGAGTTATGAAGTTCATCCCGATTTTCCGACGTGGTTTCCCCTTGTCAGTGGTGCAGATCGGAGGGCCTGACAAGAACAGCTGTCTAGTCCTTCAGATGAGACGGAAAACCAAGGTCCCGTGTATACATTGGAATGCCCGTAAAAGATCCCTTGGCAGTTGGAATTTGATATAAGAGTAAGCGATAGTGCCGCTGCCCGGGCAAAATTTCCCTTGTAGCACAAGGTATGGCGTATGCCGTCTTCATTAGCCCAGTATAGGAGCAGAACAGTAGGACGTTAAACCCCATTTCATTTCATTTCTAGAGTTATGGCCCTTGTTTTACTTTGTGAACCCTGTGAATGTTTGAATAACAAAAGTGATCATCATATCTGTATGAAATTTATGTGCATTATTTAAATTAGTAAAATGAAAATTCCTGTTAAATTTCAACAATTTCTGTAAACTACTTCCAAAGTTGAGGCCCTTGTTTCAGTTTGTAAAACCTTGTGAACCCTCAAACGACAAAAATTATAATCTGATCTGTATTGAACTGTCTTTGTAAAAGCCCCCAATTACATACAAAGGAATAAATATGCGACAACCCTTGTCGACCACTCGGACAATTTAGCTGCTGTGGGCATATGTTTCGTTGCCTGACAACCTATCTTGAATATCAACTGAACCATACTCGATCAATGAGTCATTTCTCGTCCTATGATGTCATAACTGACTTCCAGTCATTTTGAATTTAGTTCTTCATCCCTGAAGAAGTTAGTATTTTTACTGACAAAACGTTGGATAAAACGATGGTTTTTTGATATTGTATTCTATTAATTATTTTATATCACATTTACATGTGGACATATATTGTCTTCACCCCTGTCCGTCCACAATTGTTTGTGGACACTCTACAGGTCACAATTCTTATTCGATTTCAACAAAACTTGATATATAGGTTTATCTCCCTGAGATCTCGGTTCCTTTCGATATTGGCATGTATCGGACCATAACTTCATGGATTATGACCCCTGATTGTACGAAAAATCTCGTTTTTAGCTTGTGGACCCTATAGAGGTCACAATTTTTATCCGATTTTGTTGAAACTTGAAATGTAAGTTTATAAACCAAAGATCTCAGTTCCTTTCGATATTCGAGCATAAAGGACTGTAACTTCCTGAATTATGGCCCCTTATTGTACGTAAAATCGCGTTTTTAGCTTGTTGACCTTATAGAGGTCATAATTTTTAGCCGATTTAAAAAACGTTTGAATATATCACCGTTACACCCTAAGGATGGTTGAGTTTGAATTTCATAAAAATCAGACCAAAACTGACAGACAAAATAGCCAGCCCTAGTACTCAAATAGCGTAAAAAATATGATATATCAAGGTTGTGGACTCTCTAGAGGTCACGATTTTCTTCCGATTTTGATGAAACTTGAAATGTAAGTTTATAACCAAAAGATCTTGGTTCCTTTTGATATTCGTACATATCGAATCGTAACTTCCTGAATTATGGCCCCTGATTGTATGAAAAATCACGTTTTAGATTGTGGTCCCTCTAGAGGTCACAATTATTATCCGATTTAAAAAAACGTTTGCATCTATCACCGTTACACAGTGATTTTATCTGAGTTTGAATTTCATGAAAATCGGACCAAAACTGCCGGACAAAATGGCCACCCCTCGTACGCAAGTAGTGTAAACATCTGGTAAATCAAGGTTGTGGACCCTCTAGAGGTCACAATTTTGATCTGATTTCGATGAAACTGGAAATACATGCTTATAACCCAAAGATATTGGTTCCTTTCGATATTCGCCTATATCGGAATGTAACTTCCAGAATTATGGCCCTTGAATGAACAAAAAATCACGTAGAGGTCACAATTTTATCTGATTTTAAAAAAACATGTGTATATATCACCATTGGTTCCTTTTGATAATCCCGAACTTAAAGGAGCTAAATCGCTAATGTTTGGGACCTAGAAATTGACAAAAATGGGTCGCAACGCATATAATAATGTAATATGAATGTATATAAACTGATTTACTTTCAATCGTTTCTGTTTTTACTGTAATTTCTAATCAGTTATGTTCAGCGAAATACGCCAGAAGTCTCATGTGAATGGCAATCTTTAGCGTCTATGCTCTCCAGATAAGAATATAGCGTCACCATTTGACCTGACTTGTGGAATATGTCTAGCCCTGTTCTTTGAGTCCCTTGTTCCAAATGGCGCTGAAACGCATTATGGTACACGATTCGTGGTAAAATGTTTATTTTGTCTTGAATATTGGATATCAGAAGCCCATCTTTTCCCTGTAAGATCACAAGACC